GCACCAATGCACTATTTTCATGCATGATTCTAGCAACAGAGAAATGGTGATAAATCCACTCGGTTGCATGTGAGCTCACAGAAGCCGTGTGTTTGCGTCTCGGTTTGAGATCTATTGATGTCAAAGAAGAGTAAACAGAGCCCAAAGAGGCATCTGCTACCATCTGTGACCATAGTAATTATGCTCACATTTGGCACTGAAGCCAAGAGGAAAGTTCCAAGCCCAGGTGTTCCACATTCTGTACCCTGGCATCCACACTCCGCTCAGAAAAAATGTATATTTAACCTCTTTTCCCAAAGATGTTAATCTACAGTCAGTGTTTTCCATTTTTCTCCAGTTTTTCTCTTTGTGATTAATAACCGTAATACATCAGCATATGCTATATATGTAGTCCTGTTTCACTGTAGTACTTCACTGGAACGCTGTGTTTAAAGAGCTCAGAATGGAGGAATATCATTTGGCATAAATATCATCAAAACATTTTTTCATGCAAGATTCAAGATTCAAGATTCAAGATTTTTATTTGTCACATACATGGTTATATAGAGAATATATGACCAGCAGTGAAATGTAAGTCAGGTCCGCTCCATGGACAGTGCAATTATTAAAGAATACAATAATTGCATAGCGCAAATCCTCATTCTTTATCAGAGGCTTAGCTCATCCAAAACTGAAAATTCTGTGGATAGTTTACCCAACCTCATGCTGTTCCAAACACGATCTTTCTTACATGGAACACAAAAGCAGATATTTAGCAGAATGTTCATGTTGCTCTTTTCCATACGATGATTGAAGTGGTCCACGCGTCTTGCGTACTGTATTTCAAGTCTTCTGAAATAAAATGATAGCTTTGTGTGAGGAACATTCATCAATTTATCCATGAAATCTGACTTCTTGTATCCATGCAATGCACAAAAAGCAATGACATTTAGCGTTATTGACCAGTGTTGGGAAAGTTACTTTATAAAGTAGTGCATTATAATATTGCATTACTCATGAAAAAGTAACTAATTGTGTTGCTTTTTATGGAAAGTAATGCATTACGTTACTTTTGCGTTACTTTTTGTCAGCTGGGCTGGGCTTGCTTATTATTTTTTCTTATAACAAAAAACACAAAAGTTATATTTTTGGCAACTGTAAGGGCACCAAAAGTGAAGTTAATAAGCCTCAGACTAAAGGAAGTGCCTCTGTTTTCTCAGATTTCTCTCAACACGGGGACAGGAGAAGTGTGAGTGAATAAATGGGAAAACAAAGTAACTTGCATTACTTATTTGAAAAAGTAACTCGGATATTCCGTTGTAAATTTAAAAGTAATGCATTACTTTACTAGTTGAAAAAAAGTAATCTGATTATGTAACTCGCGTTACTTCTAATGTGTTACTGTACATAACATACTGTATATAAATTTGAGTTTTGAGGTCTCTGGTGGAAGACTAGTTTTTTTTAGTGACTTTCATTTTTCACGTCACACAAAACTATCATTTTTTTTCACATGGATCACTTTTATGGTGCTTTTTAGTTCCCTTTCTTGCTTGAAAGCTGCTGGTTCATATTTGCTTTCATTTTATGCTTGAGAGCAGCATGAATATTCTTTATAACGTCTCTTTCTGTTTCCCTCGAAGGAAAGCAAAGTTGCGTTCCGATTGACAAGGTCCCTACGGAGTATTCACTCTTCTCTGCTCCCTGTCGAAGATGACAAAATGAGTTATTTCTGCAAATTCATAAATGTAATGTAATATAAATGACCATACTTTCATTTAATATATATCTGTATATAACACATTCATGTGTTATTAATTTAATGCAAATAAATTAGACGGTGCTTAATTGAGTGTTGCGTTGATTAATAATAAAATAAACTTGATTTAGTTATATTAGATGTGCATTTGATCTTATTTAACCATTGCACTTTATACCTGCAAACAGCCACGTACAAACCACACCTGGGATTAATTAAACTCAATAAAGATGAATTTTTACCTGGTTTATTTCAGTCAAATGTCTTTAAGTACTGGAGTGATGCTAATTTACACAGTGGGTGAATTTCCTTCTCCACTTCCTGTGAAGTGATGTATCGATGCGCCCTTATTCTCTATGCGTTTGGACTGAACATGTTCACTCCCTTTGGACTGGAATCTCACAGGATGGTGGAATATACCCTGTGAAGTCCACTTTGCAGTTCACTTTCGGTTAATTGAAATGCACCTTAAATGATAGAGGTTTTGTTGCACACAAGAAAGTAAGTCAGACAATTGTGAGACAACTATGAGAAACCATAAAATCGTTAATTTGGCCCTTCATTCGTGTGTTCGGTTCATGCATGTGAACATCAGCGGCTCGTCGGTCTTCGGTCCGAGTCGAACTGTTTCCTCAGTTCAGTGTCTGCTGGAGGAACTGGAGCGCTGAATGATTCATTCATCACAGGATCAGATACGACGCTATTTCTGCTCATTTCCAGTCGGAGTGACTCTCAGGCATTTGTAAGTGAGTTTTGATTGAGTAACTTGTAGATCTGTGCTGCTCGAGCCGTGAACTGATTCATCCGGTTCACTAAATAGAACCGGTTCAAAAGAATGATTCGTTTGGGAACCGGACATCACTCTGGACCATGTGCCTGAGGCTCTGGATTACAGGTAATAATGTTTTAAATAATGTTCAGTTTCTTGCACAGACTGATCATTTCGCTTCATAAGACCTCAATATATCATCAGGAGTCACTGGTATTTTGTGCTCCTTGCTTTTTTTTACTTTCAAAATGACAGTAGCCATTGACTTACATTTAATGAACCACCAATGTCCATGAATTCAACTAAAAGTCCTCTTCGCTGTTCTGCTAAAGAGAAAAAGTCACCTACATCTTGGATGGCATGAGAGCGAGTAAATTAACAGCACATTTTAATTTTTGGGTGAACTGTCCCTTTAAGAGTTTGCTGAAGTGACTCTGATGCTTCTCCTGAGGGAAACCTGCAGCGTGATGCTCAGCACCATCCTAAACCTCCTCTACGCATAATGACAAATGCTGGAGATGGGAGGATATTATGAGAGTCGACGGCTGATGATGGACCATCTGCATGCTCATTAGGGGTTTTATAGTCATATCTTGGTTATCAGTAATTTGGATTCTTATCAGTCTAGTCTAAAAGAAATGTGGTGCAAAAAATTATATTTGTGTACAGGATCTGTCATGGAGAATTGTGGTGTGCGTATGTGTGTTCAGATGTGTTTAGCGTGTGCTTGCTCATGCTGAAGTTGCACATGCAGGACAGTGTGAGTCGCAGCTGGTTCTTCCATTGGCTTTTGAATCAGAGCGAGGTTTGGTCCTTTAATGCCTGAGAGTAACTTTATCAAGTGTGCTGGTTATTTTTGGCCAGTTTTAAGAGTTCCCTCACAGGTCACCGCTGGAGAAGCACGGAGAGATAAATATTGGGCTAGAAACCGCTTGCCAGCGTTCAGCCAGCCCACTGCCCCCTCAATCTCTGGCCACGCTGATAAACACATCCACAGCACTCCCGAAAATCAGGGGCATTTCATCCCAGGAGGCAAGAGAAAAGTGCATGCTCAAAAACAGTTCGGATGAGAAAATAATGGATGGTACAGAATTAAAATGAGAAATTTTTACAAAATATGAGCATAAAACATCAGCTGATGCTTCACTGTGATTGACTGATTAGACTGTCAGTGGGACAATGCTCGTCAACATATCGGCCTGAATGTGTCAGACGGGTGGGAATGGATGGGCTAATTACAGAGTAAACATCTCACACACTCAGACCTCATCACTTGTGCTCACATCCGAACTTGTAATGACTTGAAACACAGAGTGATTTGTGAGCGAGGCGGTTTTTAGTGAGCACTCAGCTGGGTTAAATGAAAAGGTGCATCTGCGAGCCTGACACCACCTGCAGTGTTTCCACAGGATTTGTTGACTAATGATCTGAAAGTAATGATCAACAACAGTTAGTAGTAACTAATCAAGCAGACAATATATATTCTTGGTACAGTATTATTAGCTCTTATTTTATTAGCAGCTTGATGAGACATTGATCATGTGTCTTGGGACTGAAAATTATTAAATAAACATAATTTGCTTCATGTGGTAACATCTAAATCAATGAATTAATTGAAGTAAATGTAGTTATTTCAAATTAAATTAATTCATATTTACATTTTAAATTAATATTATTTAAATGTTAGTTTTATTTTATGGAATTGATCATTTTAATCTGCAAGCATGCGTGGAATTGATCAAAAGTGACAGTAAAGACATTTATAATGTTATGTTCCTGTTTCAAACGATTGCTGTTCACTGAATTTTCTATTCGTCAAAGAATACTGGGAAAAAAAATGTTTCATTGTTTCCACTAGAATATTTAGCAGCACAACTGTTTTCAACATTGATTATACTAAGAAATATTTCTTAAACAGCAAATTATCATGTTAAAATAATTTTAAAGCATATTAAGCTAGAAAATGATTATTTTATAGTATAATAGCATTTTATAGTATTACTGTTTTTCTGTATTTCTGATCAAATAAATGCATTATCGGTGAGCAGAGATTTCTTTCCAATACATACCAAAAAATAAATAAATAAATAATCTTACTGACCTCAGCCTTTTGAATGGTAGTGTACATACATTAAGACACGGCAAGAAAACTAAACTAAAGGATTCGATCAGGAGGAAAGAGCTCCTTAAAGTAACATTTGTACAGTGTTTTAAATATTAATATTAAATACTTAAATATTAATCACAGTATAGTTTTAAATATTAACCTCAGTCATATTAGTATTAAATATTGATGTAAACATATAAAAATATTATAGTGATGGCTACATGTTCATAGTGTAAGTCACATGCCCATATTTCTCTAAATATCTGGAAACATCAAATTGAACATGAGCTGAAAACCCAAATGCAGAGAGAGATAGGAAGAATGTTGTATTTCCCAGTAGTCTTCATGATCTCATCTTCTCCAAATGTTCCTCTTTTTTTTTTTAGGACTACACCCTGACCATGTATTTCCAGCAGGCTTGGCGAGACAAGCGCTTGTCGTACACAGAGATCCCTCTGAATCTAACCTTGGATAACCGCGTGGCTGACCAGCTGTGGGTGCCCGACACCTACTTCCTCAACGATAAGAAATCCTTCGTTCACGGAGTGACAGTCAAGAACCGAATGATACGCCTGCATCCCGACGGCACCGTGCTCTACGGATTAAGGTACGTCCGTTGAGGTCATCGCCATTGTCGTTATCGACCCGTAATCACGTTTGACTCCTCTCATCATTCTGTCAATGCAAACTATTTGCAAACCACCCACATAACGCGTTCATGACGTGTTCAGAGGCCTGTTTTTATTTTCCCTGGCTGCTGATGCATTATGCCGGTGTAAGTGACTCAACATCGCTGTCTATGTTTAGAAGGGATGAAATTGTTGTTGCTAATTCCAAAGCTGTGCATTGTGCGTTCTGTTCCTCAGCCTGACAGCAGTGTCCTTATCAGAAGAGTGCTTAAAAATTAAATATCTGCATTGCAGCAGATAATTCACTGTTGTTAAGGCGACCAAAATCAATAAATATAATTTATAACGCTTCATTATGTAAGTGCCCACTTACATAAGCTATTTTTACATAACAAACTGCATGCAGAAATACTAAATGCACATGATGAAACATTGATGGGAATGTGTGAGAGTGCTGTGACCTGGCCCGCAGAACATTGCTTTCGGGACTGCCAGCATGCTACTTTGTCAATGGAGACCTTCGCATGTGAGACAGCACCGGCTGCGGCCGCATGTGTGTGTGTGTGTGAGCATGTGTTGAGGAGGCAGTAATAGAGCGTTCTCTTTTGTGACATCTTAAATTTAGTGCGAATCTGTGCTTTGTTGCAGTTTGACACAAAAGAGTGTTGGAAGATGGGCTTTCTGGGTTTGTGAATGCGTATGGGAGTGTGTGTTTGTGATGAGTGGCGGTGTGTTGTCTGTGTTTCTTGGGTGCCCTGCTCCACTAAGCCTGCCAAAGCATGTTCCTCAATTACCAGGAGAAGAAGAAAATAACAGCACTCTTCTATAGCTGTCTGTGAGAGCCCAGTCTGACAATTTAGCACAGGCAGGTAGATCTGATTATCTTGCTCCTAAAAGACTTCAACCAATAACACGGACTCTGGCCAGGAGATGAAAATACACAGGCTTAAATACAATTTCTGAGTCATAATACGACAAGTGAATCATGTTACAGCTTAGCAGTCTGTGTCGTCCTTGTTTTAATGGACTAATGTCAAAATATTTTCTATTATTATGCCAAAGATATTTTCATATTCATTTAGTTTCAAACTGAACTTTCATTGTTTGGAGCCTTTAAAGATGCAAGAAACTTTCTTATGCATTGTACAGTGTTGATTTAAAATCAATTGTAGGGTATTTGATCCGCATTGCTGCTTATTCTGGACAAGAATCATCCACTTAAACACAAAAAGACTGTCAGACTGACATGTAAAATGATATCTGTTTAATTTTTATTTAAATAAAAAAAAATTGCTAATGAATGAATCAAACAAAACTTTTAGTGTCATTCAATCCAGTGATTAGTTCTTTCCCAAAAACGTATTGTGTTGACCCTACCCTTACGAAAATTAACCATGGTTTTATTAAAGGTAAAGTTAAGTAACCATGTTTTTTTTTTTGGCGGATTGATTAGCATTTGTATAATCAGTTTTATTACAAATACCATTGCTAAACTACTGTTAGTGTAGCAAAACTACGGTTCATTTGTGGTCATGGTTTAACTATAGTAACCATGGTTTTTTGGTTTTATTTATAGTAAAACCATGGTTAATTTTCATAAGGGTATTACTTTTTTAAACACTACTCTGTTTCCATATGTACTGATAAAAAACCTGTATGCCTTCACTCCTGGAAGTTGTGTAAATTCAGCCAATGAGATCAAATTTGCCAGATCGAAAGTGCCTTCTGCTTTTGTGTGCAATGTGTATAAAGAAACCATTGCTATCTTAGGCTGAGACTAGTGTCGGATAGACTCATTTGTTTAAATGTAAACAAAATGTCTTCTGTCTGAATTAAACCAACATTTCAAATATAGTTTTAGCAGTGATCAGCTTTTTGTGTTGTGATGTGTCCCATTCACAGCGTTTTAGTACACAGCATCAGTTGCTTTTGATATAAACATGTGCCAAATGCAAAAAAAATAAAATAAAGTTAATTAAATCAATGTGCATATACAGACTAGGAATGTGCATTAAGATAGTGTGAAGCATAGCATTAAAAATACCAACGTCATGGGTTTGATTCCCAGGAAATGCATGAACTGAAAAAATATGTGTTTTGAATGCAATATAAGTTGCTTTGGATAAAAGCATGTGTCAAATGCAAAAAATTAAATCAAGCTATTAACCACCAACTATTTGTTTTTAAACATAAATGTACAGAATTTTTGCAAAAAAAATACTAATATAAAAAAAAACATTCTCATGGGGAGGCAGAACAAGGACATGTCACATAAAGATCAGAGCATTTACTTTTATATTACTTTAATATAGATTTCTTTTGTGATCCTGCTAGGCCGCTATTGACAGTATCAGACATAAAAGTGTGAGAGAAGGACGTGGTATTGAATTCTGCTACCAGTTCAGCTATTTTCCTTGCAGTGATGCCTCTCCTATCTGAGTTTTCCTGTTGTTGCTGGTATATTCACCTACCTTTACACAGAAAGATAGCACAGTTATGCGTGATTACACAAAATAAAATAATGCCTGCTATAAATAGAAGCTGTCCTATTCTGCCCTTAGACATCTTCAAGTCGCTGGAAAAAAAAAGTAACACCAGCCAATGCAATTCACCTCCATATAATAGGCAACCTTTTCTGTAAATGAGAATTAATGATAATGTCTCCATTTTATTGTGTGGCTCATTCACTGTAAATGAGAAGGTAAACAGAAGACCTCTTCTTCTCTCAGTCACTATGTGTAGTAATTTAGATTTGCTTAAGTCCATTATGTCCTAAATTAGTCAGCTGCATTTAGACAGAAGTGGCCCTAACTGCACTGTAACGCTTCTTAATTGGGCCTAGTACATAGCCTTGCTGAACACCTCATAGTGTGTGCTTAGCGAGTTATATTGCATTCAAAGTACACATTTTATCAGTTCATGCATTTCCTGGGAATCAAACCCAATGACCCTGGTATCTTTAATGCTATGCAGAAACACTTTCTAGTGCACATTCCTAGTCTGTGTGTGCACATTATATGTGTATGCGCACTCAAATGACTTTCCATGTCTGTTGACATCATCAGGTGTTTTTGTTTTGTTTTGTTTTTTAGCCCCTTCACTTCAACCATATAGCTACCATTTTTCACCATCGAAACAATCGCTATACTTTTTAAACCTCTGGTGTTGTTCACGTTGTGGTCAAAAATGACCGATTTTTTTATTTAAATGAAATGTACTATATTTTATATAACAACTATGCTGTTTTTATTTAATATTTTTATATAATATTTTATGGTACTAAATTATATTTACTGAATAGTTATGACCCTTTTTTTTTTTTACCTGTTAACCACTTTTTCAGCATAGATCTGAAAATGAAATTTCCAACTTAAAGCGCACTCAAATGACTTTCCATGTCTGTTGACATCATCAGGTGTTTTTGTTTTGTTTTGTTTTTTAGCCCCTTCACTTCAACCATATAGCTACCATTTTTCACCATCGAAACAATCGCTATACTTTTTAAACCTCTGGTGTTGTTCACGTTGTGGTCAAAAATGACCGATTTTTTTATTTAAATGAAATGTACTATATTTTATATAACAACTATGCTGTTTTTATTTAATATTTTTTATATAATATTTTATGGTACTAAATTATATTTACTGAATAGTTATGACCCATTTTTTTTTTTACCTGTTAACCACTTTTTCAGCATAGATCTGAAAATGAAATTTCCAACTTAAACTATAGTAAAGCTTGCTGATTTACGACAAAGCAACAAATGCTTAACTTAACTTAAGATCTCTTTTTAAAGAAGACATTTGGCTGAAGATTATTATTGAAGTCAAATTTTTCTGTCAAGAATGAATGAACAGCACCAGAGGCTTAAAAAAAAATCACATTCCAGTAGTTTAGTTTGCAAAATCCTTGATGCAATTCAGGACTACCATTTTGGCTGCCGTGTTTTCAGCTCTTCCTCTCGCCACCATCATAATGTAATTTAGTCAGACCCCTGCGTGGTGTGTTGCAGCACAAGCCTTAGTAAACAAGGTCGTTTGGAATAAAGGTACACATGCTGCCTTGGGGTCTGTACCCAACCCTTACATGAACCTGTGCGGTGCGCGGGGAACCCGTAACGCTGCGGCCCGCCAATGATAGATGGATAGATGAAGTCTAGTGTGCTGGTAAAGAGAGCGCTCTTGAATGCATGTGGATGAGAAGACATCGGCGTTGGTGGGTTTCAATGCAGGGAAGTAGCAGTCTAACGGCACTAGAGAGTAAACAGCCCCGACTTTTATTCCTCAGACCCTTTTCAAGCAGATACAAGCTGCCAGAGGCGTTAAGCGGCACTAAACCGGTGAGGGTCAGGCCTAGCTTCCTTCTACTCTTAATATATTGAGCCAAGCCTCTTCAAGCGGATACAAATCAAGCAGTGAGTGGTTGGGGGCAATAATAACACCTGACAAATAAATCATATTAGCCCCCTCTGATGAAAAAACACACATCCAGGTTGCTTTAATATGGATTTGTTCCTTCATTTTCTCCTTTATATCGTACTAATTCTTCTTTCTCTCAGGAATAATGCATGTTTAAAGGAAAAGTCTTAAGTGGCACCTATATTACAATTGTACAAAGCAAGTCCTCAACTAGACAAAATTATTGTTGAAATAGTATTCATTATTACCAGTTTTAATTCAAAAGCATCAAAACTTTAAACAGAAATTATACATTATTATATATTTTCTTCAAACTGAATATAAGTCTCTTCTGCTCACCAAGGCTGCATTTATTTGATCAAAACTACAGTAAAAACAGTGAAATATTATTATAATTTAATCTCTGTGAATATAATGTCGAATGTAATTTATTTCTGAGATGCGCAGCTGTATTTTCAGCATCATTACTCCAGTCTTCAGTGTCACATGATCTTCAGAAATCATTCTAATATGCTGATTTGCTGCCCAAGAAACATTGCTGATTCACAGATGAATAGAAAGTTAAAAAGAACAGCATTTATTTGTAAGATTATAAATGCCATTACTGTCACTTTATGCTTAATGCATCCTAGATGAATAAAAACATTAATAATTTATTTTAAAAAAATGACCCCAGACTTTTGAACAGTATTGTCTAATCAGTTGTTCTTAGACAGATGGAAAACTGAACCGAGCGTGTGCTGAATAAATGTCATCATTCAAGCTTGTTGATGATTAATGAAAGTCAGTGTCATGAATGGTCCCCGTGCCAACAGAGAGAAAAAGAGACATGTTGTATGTAGTGAAAGAACGATGGACGATGGAAAGAGAAGGAGAAGATGAAAGGGTTAACAATGGTAAGGAATGATGGAGGAATCGAGAAATCGAGAGAAAGAGGCTAATCAACTCCACCTCGAGTACTTCTCACAGCTTTCCAGCAGCACGCTTCCAGAAACACCAGACCTCATCAGCTGGAGGAACCAGTGACTCTCTCATCCATCCATCTCGTAGACACCGAAACGCACTGAGACTTTTGCTGATGATGTAGAGACCTATAAATAGCCTGTTATTTTTACCTCTGCCATCTTGGCCTAATTTCCTGATTTCCCAGAGCTCCCAGTTCTTCCAGTGCTTCCTGTGGAGTTGTGATTGTGGGACGATGCAGTAGGAACCTCAGGAGTATTGATGTTTTTAGCATGCTGATTTATGACCGGGAAGAAAGAGAAAGAGGCTTGCTGACAAATCAGAACTCTATACGGTAAAAATAGCAACCCACAAAAATAAAAAAAATTGCTTTACATCGAATCAAAAAGAGCAGAATTTATTTGAAACAGATTTTTTTTTGTAACATTATGAATGTCTTTAACATCACGCTTGATCAGTTTAATGCATCCTCGCTGAATAAAAGTATTCATTTCTTTCACAGAAAACAATCTTACTGACCCCAAATGTTGATGAGGCTTGTTCTCGCTATGCTGACAAACCATAATAAACCATAACCTACATGATAAAAATTGCAAAAATGTGAAAGCATAAGCTTAAATGCTGCTTTAAATCAAATCAAAGTTGTACTAAACTCGCAACCTGCAGTCACAAGTTCTACTTTTTAATATATATATATATATATGTATATATATATATATTTATTTTTTTTAATTTAAATTTTTTTATTTTATTAATTAATCATAATGAAAACTGACTGATGGTAACTCACAAAATTGAGTAGAAATATGAAATTATTTATTAAAATTAAAAGCAGAATGATTTATATTTATATTTATAATGTTTCATAATATTGAAGTTATTTATAATTCATGATATTTATATGTAAATAAAATGAAATGTATCACAGTATCCACAAAAATATTAAAAAGCACGACTGTTTTCAACATTGATAATACTCAGAAATGTTTGTTGAGCAGCAAATCAGCATATTATTATGATTTCTGAAGATCATGTGACACTGAAGACTGGAGTAATGATGCTGAAAATACAGCTGCGCATCACAGAAATAAATTACAGTTTAACAGATATTCACATAGAAAACAGCTGTTTTAAATTATAATAATATTTCACAATATTACTGTATTTTTGATAATTTGATTGAAATTGAAATAAACACAGCCTTGGTGAGCATAAGAGACTTCTTCCAAAAAATTTGGATTTCGAATTGAGTTATGCGCTAAATTATTAAAGATAAGCAGTTCTTCAGATGAAGTTTTAACCACCCACATGAAGTTCAGAGGCATCTATTAAATTGTATTTTCTAGACCTCGTTTTCATTTGCTGTGAGAATGGCCTTGCTGCTGCAGTTGGGTCAGACTCAGAGGAGTGTGTTTCTTCAGGTAACGAGGGCTTTGGTTGTCCACTCAAGATTAATACTTGCTCATTATACCATTTACTTACATTTGGCAGACACTTTTATCAAAAGCAACTTGCATTGCATTAAAGGTAGTACACAATTTATCAGTTCATGCATTGCCTGGGAATCAGACCCATGACCTTGGTGTTGCTGATGCTGTTCTCCAGTGTTTGAGCAACAGGAACGTAGTTTAAAGACCGATCTGCAGCCTTTTTGTAGGTGAGCCAGCAGTGTGGATGTTTAGATGAGGGAGGAGGGCTGCTCTTGTCCTTGAGAAGCGTCAGTAATCCCCACAGTCCCCTGTCTCTGCTCTGTATTCAGGATCACCACCACCGCGGCCTGTATGATGGACCTGCGGCGATACCCGCTGGACGAGCAGAACTGCACGCTGGAGATCGAGAGCTGTGAGTGCTGCACCTTCTGGCCTTCTTCACCCACAGCACCAGATCTATGCATCTGCTTTTCATGATCACCCTCACTAGAGGTCAACTGATATTGTTTTTGGATTTGGATTTCTAGTACTTATTTTTATGATAACCAATAGGCAGAATTATTTATTTTATTTTATAAAAAAAAAAAACATAATGAAAAATAATTACATTTATTATTATTATTAAAAGCAATAAAATATGTAATAATATGTAATGATAATATTAATTAGTATAATTACTATTAATAATAGTAAATAGTAATGATAATAGTAATTTATATATAGTATATTATTATGAAATATGTAATAATAACAACAACAACAATAATTATTATAATTATAATATTAAAATTATTATTATTATTTACTGATAACCAGTATGCAGCATGATTTTTATTTTACTTTATTTTGTTTTATTACAATTTTATTTTATTTAACATTTTATTAAAATATTGAAAACAATAAAATGTGTAATAATAATAATAATAATAATTTATATTATATTATAATTATTTTTGTTGTTGTTTTTAATATATTTATTTATGCCATATATAAAATAGTAATAATAATAATAATAATAATAATAATTTACTATAACCAGTATGCAGAAGGGTTTTTATTTTAGATTGTTTTATCAAAACATAACATAATATAGAAAAATATTATTAAAAACAATAAAACATGTAATAATAATAATAATAATAATGTATATTATAATGGCATTTGTTGTTTTTATTTTTTTAATTTATTAAAGAAAATAATGGCATTTGTTGTTTTTATTTTTTTAATTTATGCCATAAAGAAAATAGCATTAATAATAATAATAATAATATGGTGGCAAATGTAATTTCATGTTTATGTTAGACTGTAACTATGTAACATTAAGCTTGAAATACTGTGCATTTCACATTTGAGAGTGAACGGCTGTTCAGTAAACATTTTCAGAATCATTTTCATAAGCAATGCATTAAGAAAGTCACTCTCCCTGAACTGTCTTGTTTCTTGTTGAACACACAGTGCTTTAATGGTGTTGTTGGGGTCTGTTCTGCAGAAACCCACCAAATGCTGGCATCGATCTCTAAACCCGATATTACAGAACCGATTAAATAGAAAAGTACGTTAAAAACATAGGCTCAAGCGATTATGTGTTATCTGTTACCCCGACGCGTCTGATGATCTGTTTTTCAGCTGTGCCGTGACAGCAGTGCTAAATGATGCATTTACAGCCATAACAACAGCTAATCATCTCCCTCTTTATCAAGATCAATGGGCTTTCTATTTTGTCATTATTGCCTGTAATTGTGTGTAACGCAATTTTTCTTGTAATAAAACTGAAAGACACAGGAGAAGAATGCGAGGTCTTCTCAGTGTTTATCTCTGTCCCTGGAGTGCTGGATTACAGCGCTGTGATGTGATGCTCCGGCGCAGGCTTCTCGTTTCATCATTAAGTTGCCAGAAGCGTTAAGCAGCACAGAAACACTGAGGGTCAGGCCTGACTTCCTTCAGCTACCAATACACTGCGCTGTTTTCTCTTGCTCCCTCGTTCTCTCGCTCCAGCCCTCCATTTCTGGCTCTTTTCCCTCTCCTTTCACTCATTCCCTCTCAGGGTTATTATAGTTAACTAAAACTAAAACCATAAAAAAACATTTTCGTTTCTTGAGATAAAATATAAAAAACGTCAATTTATTTTTATTTCATCTAGTTGCTAAAGCAACTTGAAATATTAACTTGATATACTAAAATGACTGAAATAAAAATGAATAAAATATATAAATAAAACTAATGAATAAATAATAAATAACAACTAATAACAAATGACAAAAAGCACAACAAAATTACTAAAACTATCTAAAATTAAAATGAAAGCAAAAAATGTAAAAATAAAAACAAATTCAAAATATTAATAAAAACTAATAGTATCTCAGTGATATTCAAATAACACTGTTCTCTTTAAAGGTGTTGCAAAATTCAGAATTTAAGAATCTTTTATTTCATAAGTGTACATTTAAATTGAATTGGCAACATCAGGGTTGCCAGGTCTGCATAACAAAAACAGCCCAATCACATTCCGGTGGAAATTGGCAAAAATCTAAAATCACTCCAAAATCACATTCGCATTCTATAAATACAACCCACGGCAGCAGTATAAAAACAGCCCAATTCTGTGGGAAAAACGTGGACTTGGCAACACTGGGCTACATGCCCCATAGGATGTTGCATTGAAAGTTATGTTGAAATAACTAGTCAAAACATAAATTATTACATCAATAATTTTGACTAAATATTCATATTTATTCCTCATACAGTATGTACAGTATTTTTAGACATCACACCTAACGTTCACATAGTGAAAACAATACTGCCATCAAAAAAGATGTACATTTTTCCATAAAGCATCACAAATGGCTATCATTGCTAGATAATTGTATAAAAATGTTCAAAATGTAAATCAATTTATTTTATACACACACACACACACACACACACACACACACACACACCATAGACTGTATAAAAACATGGACGTAGTGTCCGTGACGTCACACGTAGATTTCCGAAGAACGTTTTTGAAGCTCAAAAGTGGGCGGAGGCGGCCGTCGCCATCTTGGCAGCCGCGCGTCACTCCCGGATAATCGAAAATGGGCAAAGAGGTGGGAGCTGGCTGCTGAAACCACACCCACCTAGCTCGACGGAGGTGACAGCAGCGGCAATCCACCTGTCACTCAAGTGGCCACGCCCTTAATTATGCAGAACTTTAAGGCTTAATATAATTTAAACGGATGAGTTATAAAAAAATCCCCCCCCCTCACAGTTGTCATGAAGGGCAAAATTAGCTATATAGACCAAAATCATTTTTTGAACCAGGCTGTAAACATGTTTTTTTCTGCTGTAAAGTTAGGCATTTTAACATGGGGAGTCTATGGGATTGACTCCCTTTTGCAGCCAGCCTCTAGCGGTTGATTGATGAATTACAGTTTAAGTCACTTCCTTGTTGGCTTCAGGAGAGAGAGCGGGAGGTTGCCACTTGACACACACACACACACACACACACACACACACACACATATATATATATATATATATAGAGAGAGAGAGAGAGAGAGACAGAGAGAGAATGTAATATATATAAAATAAACGGAAGAGCATTCTTCCACTATGACAATTGATTACAATTACTAATTACAATTATTAAATAAATTATATAATACACATATATAAAAAATAAATACAGAATCTATATACATTTAATTCAAATTTCTTTAGGTAGAATTTCAAATATTGATCATTAATACCAGCAAATGTTTCTAAAAGTGTCTCATATGTTGCTGATGAAAAATGGAATGCATTTTTAAAAAATTCAAATTCAAATCGAATTCCACTGGCGTTCCCCTGGCAACCCTGCTTTCTGTCATTTTCTCTCCCACACTCACGTTTCTTTTCCCGTGTCTGCACACAATCGTGTGTTTTTCCCGTAGTTATGTCAGTGCAGAAGTGAACAGAAGTGTTTTCACGCGGGCTAATGAGACACAAGCTTTAGCCTCCTTTTTCCTGATCAACTTGAGTCTTGATGCATCTTTAATAGCGGCAGCTCTCGGCTCGAGTCGCTCACCTCTGATGTGGATGCCTTTTCCTCTGCTTTCTCTCAGGGCCCCGAGAGAATAATGGAGCTGTAGCAGTAAATGTGATCTGTTGACAGTAATCAGCCATTCAATTGACAGAATCAGACGCGGTGGCGCAGAGATAATAGATTTAATGGAAGTGAAACACCAGTCCAACAGTAGTTTTCTCTAGAGTCCTCGGCTCTTTCTCTCTTGTGCTTTCTCGCTTTCGTCTGCTCTCCGTTTAAAAGCCTTTTCAGACAGCGGGGTGAACACGACACAACCTGTGATGGTCTCCAAACGCTCCCACGCTAGGAAGACACATCTTATGATTGTCACATGGCTCAAGCTCTTGTCGTATTTACCTCACGCTGCTCTCTGGCCCATTATACCGAATGAGAAAGCCGTATTTGTTATCTTTGTATTAATGCTTTATGAGGCCTACAGATTTGCTGGCCTTTTTAAGTCTGTACCTGGTTGCCAAGTCATGCAGAGATAACTCCCTTGAATATGAAGAAATCAGAAGCTCACCGTTAATTATTCAATACACTAAATAGGTCACTGGTTCTCATTATAAGTTGCACGCAGACAAACTGGTGCAGATGGAGAAGGAACCTCAGCGAGGACGGAGAACTAGCAAACACACAGATTCCTTCACGGATTTGTGGATGTGCGTCTGTTTCATAAACATAATTTAATGATCAGTTGTTTTGAAATCTAAATGTCACCGTCAATATTTACACTGCACTTTCCATGAATATGTGCACTTTGGGATCCTGTTGGTTTATGTAAAGTATTACAAACACGAATCCCACGCTTTTTGTTGGATATGTTAGATAAACTGTTATATCTAGAAATATAACCTAACATGAAACAGAGCTGGTTTCAAGAGTCTGTTCCCCCTTTAATTAAAATGCTGATTTTAGTCTGTCCCACCACAGAGGCTGAACTTCTTGAATTAAAATGTTCACACAACATCATAATTTTGACAATATACTAAATACATTTTTCACTAATTGTGGAAAAACACATTTTAAACTAACTGATGTTACTGCCAGGGTTACTATAAGGGTGTAGAGTTTAGTAGAGATGCTATGACCTACTAGTGCTGTTAAATCGATTAATCACATCCAAAATAAACGTTTGTGTTTACATAATATATGTGTGTGTACTGTGTATATTTATATGTATATATAAATATACACACACACATGTATTATTTAAGATATATATATATATATATATATATATGATATATATTTACATTTATATATAATATAAATCATACATACATATGAATATATATATATATATATATATACACATGTAAAATAAATATATACATGTATGTGTGTGTATTCATATATGTACATATAAATATACACAGCACACACACATATATTATGTAAACACAAACGTTTATTTTGGCATATATATTTGACAGCACATGTCCCTACCAATATCCAGCAAATACTAAATGTTCTCTAGAAATAATTTTGATCAAACAATTAAATGTCTGTTGTCTGCTGTTATGTTCCCACCAATGCCAGAATCAAACCTACACCCTTGCTATAGTTAACTAAAACTGAATCTAAATTTAAAACCATTAAAAAACGAATATTTCATTACTTGAAATAAAATAAATATTAACTGAAATAAAACAAAAAATGCAACAAAAATAAATCAGTTTAAGTTTAGCTGAGTTTGTACTAAAATAACATATATAACATATAATTTATTTATTTATTTTAACTACTAAATGTAAAACTACTATATATTACAACTAAAAATTTGCAAAAATTAAAAAAAATTACTAAAACTTTAACTAAAATTGAAAACAAAAAAATATAAAAATAAAAACAGATTCAAAATATTCATAAAAGCTATAGTAGTATCTGAATGATACTAAAATAACACTGGCTACTGCATGATCAAAGTAACATTATTTTTTAAATTTTTTATTTTTTTTACACATAAATAACCTTATTCAATTTTTTTGTTGATTGCACTTGTCCATCTCAAACTTCAACCCTGTTACCCAAAATATTGTAGGAAAAAAACAAACATTGAATGAATATTTATCTTTATTTTTTGGAAAAATATAACAATAACTTAAAAAAAAAAAACGTTTGGTCCCACCTAGGGATATGCCGGTATCAAATTTTCATGTTGCGATTAATTGCTAATGCTTTTATCACGGTATACGGTATTATCACGATACTGAAATTTAGTTTTAAAAAAAAGTGCTGTCATAATACAGTATAACAGGTTTAATAACTTTTTTCTTATAACAAAAATAACTGAACATTTAAATGCAATAAAGCAATACAGAAAAATATATAAAGTTAAAAGTTTTACACAGATTAAAGTGCAAAAGAACTATAAAGACCAATAGGTATCACTTTACAATAAGACCTCATTAGTTAACCTTAGTTAATACATTAACATTCACAATGAGCAATAGCATTTGCTACTGAAGTTATTAATCTTTGTTTAAAAAAACACAAGTCTTAGTTCATGTTAGCTCATTAAATAACACAGTTACGACTTTCGATTTTAACAACCTATTATTAAATATTGAAATACCTAAGATTAATGAA